TTTCCCCCCAAGCAGTCTCGTCGGGTTCTTCTGCCCTCCAGACGCCTTCACCCGTGGGCATGTTCGTCGGATCTCCCCAACCACCAACGTAAGCAAGGTAGTCCCGGGAGGGCTGTACGTCATTCAGGCCTTGGTCGTCAAAGGTCAGCATGACAGCGGCAGCCGTGGTTGACGACGTGGGTACGATACCCTCACGTGGAACGGTATCATCGGTGTATTCAATGTCATCGCGATGCTCCCATGGGCCGAGAGAGAGAATATTTTCAGAGTCAGCAGTGGTGCGCTCAGGTACAAAGTTGAGGACGAATACACCGTTTTGTTCGACTGCCGTGCCGAGTTTCCTGTGTCCGTATTTCGAAGTAAACTTTCCAGGTTCGCCAAGAAGAGTAATCCCAATCCGCATAAGCTGTGCAGATGACATCAGATTGAAGCAAAGGCGAGGGACGAGAAGCACGTCGTTAAGATGAAGACTGAAGTCTTCTTCAACGGAATCAAGAACGATGTTACCCATCCAATGGGCTGTAAGACGTTGATTGTTGGCGACGGTGACGACGCAGGGATTCTGAAGGCGACGCTGGTTGATGATGAAACGGGTTTCTGAAGAACACATATGCTGGCCGCAACAACTGTCGAGGTACCACGTGTTGGGACCTTCCAAGGTATGTGCAAGATTGGTGTAGACCTCGGGTGGTATAGGCGTATTGAGTTCATCATTGAAGCCATTGTGGATATGGTCTTCAGCGTCAGGATCGTAGACGGTAGAAACTGACGTCATAGAATTAATGACTTGTTTCACCTCTGTCTTGACAGGTGTAGCAGGCGGCTTTGCAGGGTTCGGCTTCGCAGCGTTACCTGAAGAATCTTTGGTGTGTGTCTGCGCAGACCGCTTCCAAGGCGGCTTATCCTTCGACCAGCAGGTATCGATGGTATGACCTGCTTTACAACAAAAGGAACACACTGGCTTGTGACGTGGAGTATAATAAAAACTGATTGTGTTACTAACCACCTTTTTCCCTCCTCGAGCGTTGTGCAGGTCCATATCCTGCTGCTCGGTGATGAGAGCAGCACAGAGTGCCCCCTCAGACAACGTCGCCTGCATCCGAAGAATGGAGCGACACTGCCGCCATTCTGGTCCAAGGCCCGCGAGTAGCACCGTGTGAAACATAGCATTGGGGAAGTATCCTCCGCACTTCTGAAGCTGGTCGCGCAGATTTCGAGCACGGTTGATATACTGCGTCACCTTCTCGCCGTTTATCATCTGTATTGTTGACAGCTGCGTTAAGATTTTGCTCTGGTTGACGGTGTCCTTTGCCATGTAAACCCCCAGCAGGTATGACCAAGCTGCTTCAGCGGGAGCGGTACTGGTACGAAATGAACGAATACCAAGCTGTTCAGTCGGCGCCATATTGCGAACGAGAACTGTGTATGCGGTCAGCGACGCTGATGGGAAAGCGGCCTGTTGAAGGGGTGAGCCGCGAGATGGGAAGGGTGCTGTACCGTCGAACAAGTGCCTGAATCCCGCTGTTTGAACAAGAAGTTCGAATTCGAAACTCCAGGTATAAAAATCTTGACCATTGAATGGCACTGTCGTCTTAACCTTTGTGGGGTTTGCAGAAGTAGGAAGATAACTTCCGGTGCCGTCGGCTGACTGTAACTGATAAAGCGATGGCATCTGAGATCCTTGCGATGCTTGCTGTCCTTGTCCACCAAGAACAAAGGAGAAGGAGCTGTTTGACCCGTCGCTTCCCTGTGGTGATTGTCCACGCTGATAACTGGAGCCATCAAGGCTCATAGCACCGGGAAACATCTGGTTGAGTGACGAAACGACAGCATCCACGCGCTGCTGAAGATTCGTCGGCTGGTAAGCCCCTTGATATTAATGTGGTCCAGTCGGTACGAAGCCAGACTGTTGTCCTGGTTGATTAGTAGAACCAGTTACTACAGCTGCAGCTGTTGTGGCTGCAGTTGCCGCGGCTGCTGCCGCTGATGCCGCTGCTGCGGCTGCGTGTACGGACTGATTGCTCAGTGGCATGCCGTACATCGGTTGTTGCTGATATTGTTGTTGCTGATGTTGCTGCAAATGAGAATTGTCAGCGGCTGGAGACGCTGTTGGGTGTGATGGGCTCGTAACAGAAGACCCGTCGTCGGATCGTGGAGAGCCAGACATAGTTGCAGAGTATGTAGTTGGAAGCTGGTAGAATCCTAAGAGGCTCGAAATATCATGTTAGGATTTGAAATGACTGAATAGGATCGTATACTTATGATGGTAGCTTTCTGTTGCAGTGGAAGTCTTTGTATGAGTTAAAGCCTGTGTAGGAGGCTTTGTCTGGGCTAGTATGTAAAGCCCATGTAGTGACACGTTTCAGGATCAATGTCTCTGAAATCAAGTATATTATAAAATGACAAGCATACAGAATATATAGCTAGAGTAAAGTACCTACTCGCCTATTGTACCGCGCTATTCATGCTATTCCTGTTCTGAAACGGTACATGACTATTCGTGAGGCCTACAGCTACTTGCTGACGTCATCCTATCGGTACTTAACTATTACGTGCGAAGTCTCGCACTGTATTAACTGTACTACACGAATTCCTTGAAGTGCTTAAGTCTCGATGTTATCTCAACATCCATATCGTAACACGTACTATACCTTACTTCAGCAAAGCCTGTACCAAACATATCATTTTGAACTGTTTAGATTCAGACCTTGCAGTTCATTTGGCAGTTGATTCAAATGTTCCATGCCCTAATATCTTACGTTGAAAAAAAAAGGGCTCAACAAAATAGGTGTGATATAAATTGGGTAAACAAAATATATCGAATTCATGACCTAATATGGTGCATCACACTAAGCAATAATGGATCTTGCAACTTTAGTTTTAGGGAATGAGGTAATTGCCACCTGATTTTTAGTGAGGGTGCTAATTTAGTGTTTGTAGTTGCGTCCGAGCGGCGAGGCCGTTCATAGTAAGGAGTTTTACACTTCACTCCGAGGAACTGAGGCCTCCCAACTTCTGCACCAATCCAACACCTCCGCAACTCGATTTGTGGACACAACATGTCCAGAAACGACCGCCCCCAGTGGAGTACTTCAGAATATGCCTGTCCTCAGGACCACCCAGAAACATCCCTACCCACCCTGCCATGCTGGATGCACTTAGAGAGTATTTTGCTAAGCATCAAAGTATGAGCTCCCGACAAGTAAACCATGGCGATGAAACGTACTGGGACTGGTATGTTTGAGTAGTCACCACTGTACCTCTATGGTGGGGTCAAGAAACAAATCCCCCCCTTTGTGGTGATTACGTGTTCAGCGAGGTCGTTGGGTGATGGGAATGAATGTCGCCAGCTTCCAAGCTCCCATCCCACCATTGGGTTAGGATGGTGTGTTTTGCAAACGCTGGGCAGCTCATAATTGTGGTTAGTTCGTTGGATCCAGTTCATTGGCCTGGCTGGGCAGACGATGGATATATCGCCACCGTCGGTGACTGTGGTATGGATGGGTCAATTCCGACCGTCAACACACCCTGCTTGAGCAAGCTTGCAACTCGAGTCACGAGGGCTCATTCACGGTTCAGGCAGCGGAGCGAGAAAACGGCTTCAGAGTGCACTTTGATTGAACAGAAAGGGAACAATCGCTGTGACCCGCCCTGATCATGTTTTCGCCCCTACCCTACCCAACCTTTTGTAATCTTTCTTAGACCGCTAAAGATAGTTTCACGCCTCGCTGAGTCGCATTGAAACTTTCGAGACGCTGTGAGTCTTCAAAGACACCGTGGGTCGAGTTGATCGGAATATGAACAGAGCTTTATAGCACCTAAAGGCTCCAGGGGGGACAGGAATCTGAACCATCCTGGTAACAGTCCTCTTGTCTGCCCCACATGCATGCTACGAACTGACCAGAAAGCTGCTGAGCCGATGCTTCTTGGTGGCTCCGCATTTAGGTCCAGACAGATTTATTCATCAAATATGTTAGGAAGTTTGTCACCGTCACACTACGATCGTCTACTAGAATTATTTGACAATTCCCCGTCCTACCCGCTTAGGCTACTACGATGTCAGCTCGACATACAAAATGCTGCTGCTGATCCTTCGACACCTCTCATATTGACTTAGTGGACAGATCAGATGGCTCTGAGCCATACCCGGAAGCGCGAATGCCTTCCCGGTCCGCCTAGCTGTCGTCCTTATTTTCTTTCAAACCATCGTGCCAGCAATTGGTTTCTAGGGTTAAGCTTTCCGTTTCTTCAGCTTCTTATCCTGGTTACAGCGGTGGGAAGCAACGTTAACAAAGCAGGAGCTCAGGTGGAAGCCGCCTTGTCCTTCAGTGACGTGGTGAGTGCACAGATCACAAATCATGTCGCTTCTTATCTTGAACGAGCGAAAAGTTTACGAAAACCGGGTGCATTGAGGAATTGGAGGGGTTGCTCGTTATGTAGCGGACCAATCAGAGTTTTGTTGCTCATTGGTGTTAATTCCAGTAATGTCGAAGGACGTGGTATGAGTTGAGGAGGATCAGAGCCGATCTCCCTCAGGATTGCTCTCGCAACGGGTAGGACGTGCCATTATAGGGTGCATATTTTTAACGCGTGGGTGCCGTGCCAGTGAGTCCATCCTCAGCCTTCGATGATTGAGATTGGAAACTTGCACCGCATCCTAAGAAGCACGTGACATTGAAGATCAAATAAGAAAATTCGCTTCTTTGCTCTCCGTCATTGCCTTCGGCTCTAATGTATGTCTCCTCCATCCTTCTCAACCCGGAATTTTCAACTAGCTTCCCACTCAACCTTCGCGTCATTTCAGATCGACGAGTCACCTCGCCTTCGCCTGGACCACGAGCGGGAGTACATATCGCACGAGGTCGGTTCCCTATCCGCCACGTCTGCTTATGCGGACAGCACCGCCGGTCCGTATTCCGCTTACGCGGACCGCGATCATTACCCCCCAACAATACCACCACCCGAGTTAAAAACTACCGGAAGCAGTTCGAGCCTGACAGATGACTCCTGGGCCGATGATAACTTCGACACCAGGTCCGTACATGCTGTGTGCTGCGAAAGGGTGCGAGAGTGCCGCGCGTTTCCCCTTCGTTTCTCCAACGGTCTCCCCTCTCTTGCACGCGCAATATTTCACTGCATGCCATCACCCGCCAGTACGAACCGCATCGTCATGCCTCCATCTCGTTATTCCGTTCCTCCCTTGCGCCTCCATCCCCCCCTTGCACTCCCTCCGAACCACCAACCTCCGTCCGTCCGGTCCGTGTGCGGGCCAGGTGCGCGCCTGACGCGAGTGCGGCGGCGCTGGTGCCGCAGGTGCAGTCGGAGGACGAGTGCGTGGAGGACCTCCGGGGCTTCCCCGCATTCGACGTCAAGCAGCACGACGTGCGCCTCTTCGCATGCCTGGCGCACCGCTTCCTGCAGCCGTGGATGGGCATTCCGGGGATCAAGGAGGGGCTGGGAGCCCGAGGCATGATCGCGCCGGGTCTGCTGAACGCCATGGCGAAGATTGGCGGGGTAATGTCGTGCTCCGCCCACGTGCGCATAGTGAAGGGCGCCATCTATTTCCGCTACGGCGGGTTCGAGTTCGAATGGTACCGCATGCGGCGCTTCGTGGTTTCAATTCTGATGATCCAGGAGGCCATTCGCATTTACGGGCTCACCTCGCTCAATGCCGAGTTCTTTCTCAACACGTGCGACCTGCCCGCCAGCACTGCTGGCTCACGCGCCAGTGAGAAGGCCGGGTTGCCCATCTTCAGCCCGCAGGGGTCGCTAGGGTTTGTGGATATTCTCTACCCCGACCCGGTGGACCTCTCCATGCACTACTACAGCGAAAACAGCGGCACGGTGAGCACCGATTGCAGCAAAGAAGTATAGGTATGCTTCACCTTTGAACGCTGTTGTATTATAATTCATTCGCACAGCCAATTCTCCCTAAAACACCCCTTGCCTCTTCAACCCTGCTCCTAATCAGCTAAGCCAACCCCAACCTCCCCCCCCACTCCCTTCACCCCTTTCCCCCTACCCCCTCCCCCCTCCATTCCTTCCCCCCTCTCTCTTTTCTACCCCCCTCTTTTAATGTGGCTCTCTTGGCCCATCAGATGCCGTGGGAGCGGAAGAGGAGTAAGGCAGTGTTCAGAGGTGCTGCCACAAACTTTAAGATCAATCGGCCCTACCAGTGGAGAGGCAGTCCCAGGTTTAGACTGCACCGGTAAGTGCTCACGTCCACACTCCAACCCTTTTCAGGTGTCCGCTTTTCCCGCTACTCATTCGTGCCTGCTCTTGCCCTAAACATCTCTCCTCCCTCGTTTCCATCTCCATCGCGTTCTCCTGGCTCCATCTTCCTTACACACTCAAGCCATGTACTCCTACCAACCCCCGTCCTTAACCCGTGACGTATCCGTCTGTGTCCTGTGCGTTGCAGCATGTCGGATGTGCGGCCTGACCTCCTGGACGCCCGCATTATGCGACTCCACGCCGCGAAATACAAAGACCTGTGAGTGTGCTGCACTGGGCCTCGCAACGGAACGGTAGAGCGCCAGAGTGCGGAGGTGTGAGCAATCTTTTGTCCGCAATAGTTCGCATGAATTTGGTTTTACAATAAGTTCGGTTGTTATTCGCCGGAAAGTACCAAATTTGCTTATGGTAGCAATGCAAGAAATAGCTCAGTTGGTGGCTCTCCCGCATTGCCTCGTGCACACCTGCTCTGCCATTCCATGTTTGCTGTGCAGTTTGAGCAAGGACAAGATCGTGAAGGGCAGGGCATTCAATCGGTCGCAGCTGCAGTCGTACAAGTACGAGCTTGTTGTGGATGGAGGTTCAGGAACGTGCCGCACATGTGGAGTCATGGCCAGTGACCAAGTACGTGCTCTCCCAGTTGCACTCTCCTCTCATCTTCCTCGTTGTTCCCTTACTGGCTTGTCCTGCACCTTTTTCCTCCACATCACACGCCATCTCCTTCGCACCTCACAACAGCCCATCACCACTTATGTGATCTCTCCCTGTCTTCATCTCCCACGTGATGGGGCTGTGTGCAGCTGATGATCAAGCAAACGTCAGAGCTGTATCAGTTCTTTGGTCCTCTGCTCTGCCCCTTCCGCCACTTCCTGCCCACGGCCCGCTACTTTGCGGACCTCTTCTCTCGCATTGAGTGGGCGCGAGCCAATGACCAGCAAGCACGGAAGATCAACAAGGAGGCCAACAAGGTTGCAAGGTGGGCCAGCTGCAGCACTTCTTTCCCTGACCTACGTACATCATTCACCTTAAGTTCCGTCCGCTTTTTGCAATCCCCCTGCTTTGATCTCACCTTGATGTTCCATTGACTGCAGCACGGATGTTGAAAGCATTTCTGATCCTTTGCCCCACACACATTCCCTTGCTTCAGCATTGCCTGCAGCTGGGAGGGAAGGCGACTGTATTGGGCCGTTCTCCTTATCAAATACTCTGCAAGTGCCATGGAGGATCCCAGCAAGGTAAAGGCGCCTGAGCAGCTATTTGAATGCAAGGATCCACCGAAGCAGCAGGACATTGAGCCACGACGTACTGCCAAGGACAAGAGACCGACCCCTCCTCTCTGGCCAGCGTACTGCAGTTCGCCTGAAGAGGATGCCAATCAATCTCCATGTGCACATTTTTGTGAAGGCAAGATGGCGGAGAGCAAATGGAAGTGGCTCACACCAGACGTCTTCAAGGGGCTGAGGGCGTTTCATCCGCCACAAGCCAAATAGAAAACGTGTTTTAGTGTTAAAGCAACCATTCATGATTTGGAACGGCCAGACTGTAAGCAAGCACATGAATGTAGCGTAAGCAGGCAAGTCCCCATAGGAAGTTGAGCCAATCTTTCCGAATCAAACAGCGTCGATGCAATGGACGCACATAATTGTTAGCTTGGATTTTATTCATTCACCTTGTTCTGGTGCATAATGCTCTGTCGGGCAGTTGAGATGCACTTTCACCATTGAGATTCTAGTCTCCTTGGCGCTGCTACTAGTGAAGGGTGGGCCAATACTAACATGAATGTGCTCCAGGATTTTGCTGCAGAATGTTAGCTCATGCCTGAACTCACTCACATTTTGTACAATGTGTCCATAACTGCAATGATTTTAGAACGGTACAGAAAAACTCCAGCAGAGCAAAAATTGCCACCGAGAACTCCACCAAAGGTCATGGGAAAGTGTACCCCCTGAGGTGCGCGCCGCTGGCCCGCTGGGCAGCGCCGCTCCCAGAAAGGGCAAAGCTTGACATGTCCCGGCAAGTGCCTCCGCCACCCAGCCCTGGTCCCCCTTCCGCCTATCGCCACCATCCGCTTGCCCACCTCGTCTGCTCTGCTCCAACCTGCTCTGCCCCTTACCTGGAGTTCCGCCAACAATCTCCATTTCCTGGCTTGACATTCCTAGAGACAGCTGATAGCACTTGTCATCCTGCTGAGTTGCTGATTAGGGCTGCAGCACTCCTTTGTAAAGGTCATTCTCGCATCCCGGTTGTTTCTCTCACATCGCAGCCATGAGGGGGTGGTTGCTCGCGTTTGTTTGTGTGGCCGTCTCAGCAGTCGCGCAGGTATTTTTTCGATGACCCTGGCTTGTGATAAACAGCAATATTTCTCCGCACCATTCTGGAGTTAGCTTTCCTTCATGCGAACGATCACTTTCTAGCTTACGACGCCTAGTTTGCTACATAGCCGATTCCGTCCCCAGGGAAAGCTTTTGTTCTCAAACTTTAGTTACGAACATCATCAGGTGGTATTTTAGATCTGTGTTCTGAACTTTCGTTCTGCGTGGCGCAGGTGGCTGCATCTCCAGCAGTCCTTTTCCTGGATCAAACTAAAGGCTCTTACTTCAACCGCGCCTCTGGATCTGCAGAGGTAGAATGCGTGTTTTCATTTAATTAATCACCATTGTCGCTAGTTGTTATTACTTCCATTCTTCTTGCACATGTGCCTATGCCTTCTGCTACTTGCGTAAATTCCTATTCGCACTCGTAACCAAACGTTTCGTCTAATACCACTTTCCCCTACCAACTCCCCCTTTTGTTCGTGATCATCCCTTTTGAGCTCATAAATTCATATTTACTATGCCGAACATTATTTTTTCCCGATGTCTCCCAGTTAGCGGCTCTTTCAACGACTGCAACAGTTGCAGCCACCGCTGCTTTGCTTGGTGTGTCTGTTCCTCCCAACAGTGATGCTGACATTTCTGCTCAGGTATATCCAGTGCTGTTTCCCGATGCATATTTCGTTCGTCGTGACATGCATTCAACTGACGTCTGACCATGCTGTTTTTTTGTGTCTGGTTCCTATCTTTCGCCCCGTGCGTTAGTTAAATTCATTGCTAATTCCGGATCCTTTCAATCGTCCCCGATCAGTTTTCCTCCTCAATCTTCCAGGAGTTGATTCTTGTAAGTTCTGGCTCACATGTAGTTTCTGTTTTCGCCTCATAAATCGATTCTGATTAAAGCGCGTTTCAGTACTATGTCTAGTGCGGCATCTTCGGATTTCTCGATCTTTACCTTTCTTGCTCTTACCATTTTATGTCTCCGCGCAGCCGTGTACAGCAATGTCACAACTGGCTCAGTGCAAGTGGTACAGTCCCGCGTGCTTGCACCCACCTCGGGGGTGACTGCTGAATATGTGGCTGATGAGCTCGAAGCAGAGATGATCGCTCTTTACAGATCTGCCAGGTTGGAAGGATTGAAGGTGGATGTTGCTACCTGCGGTTGGAGAAACGCTGATCTGGACTTCGCGGTTGAGAGCGCTGTTGCTGCCTCGCCCTGTGACAACGTTTGCCTTGAGCTCCTGGTACGTTCTTAATTTTGACCGTACCCTTTGCCAGCTTCACTCTTTTATCCCCCCAAAGCTAACGCCAGCCACCACCCTGCTCTGCTTGCCCATCTCGCACTTCATCCCGCCAGATGTCTCCGGCATCAGTGGGGGATGAGGCGTCGCAGCAGCTGCGCCGTGTTCTGAACACTGCTTTGGACGCCAATAAGGTCAGAACCTCTGCCGCATCATTATCAACCCATGAACAAGGTTATGGAGTTTTGTACTCGGATCTATCCATGTGCTACGCTTTGGCCTGTCCCAGTGCTTTTCTTACTTCGACGGACTCGATTTCATGCAGGATGGTGATTCCAACTTTTTGGCGAATCTGGCATGTGTTGTAAGGGCCATGCGCTCTGCCAGCTACGATTCGGCAGAAATGGCTGCTCATCCGCATCTGCTCGTTGCATCTCTTGCAGGGTTTCAGGTAAAACTGATTTGCAGTGGAACACATTGGAATCTTGTTGAATCTGCTATTTGTACTTCAGCTGTTATTTGTAGTTATTGTTGTGGACCAATGGTGCACTTTTTAACGAAAGAAGACTTTCTAATTTGTCTCTTTATGGCACTCTTCCATTTTTTTTATGCAGGAGAAACAGGACCCTCAGGTTGCATCCGCACGCTTGGCTTTCGTCCTTGCCACTATTTCTGCCCACATGTATTCTCTCCGATTATCAAACAAGGGTATGTTGTAGTTCCATGACGCTTTTCAGGCTTTCACATTTATTTTGATGCTTATACATGCGGTTTGGTGTTAGTGATTTTATCTGCACTCCTCTCACTCCGATTTGACCCCTACCCGATGCATTTTCCATCTATCGTCTTCCAGGATCAGTAGTTGCAGAAGTGGTGCTGGCGGGAGCCTCTTCAGTGCAGGCAGCGCCACATCTGTTGCTGCAGCAGGTTGTGTTGTCGGGAGATCAGCGTCCAGGAGCTCGTCAGCTCCGTGGTGTGGTGGCTGCCTCCCAGGTCGCACAGGCACAGGGGCTGGAGACCCCTGCTGAAGTCCAATCAACCTCCATTCTCGTTGCAACTGTCATTCTGCTTATTTCTTCACTGGTCCTCGCTGTGAGTGGCAGTTTCCTCCCTCCCTTCATCATCTGTGCACTTTTTAGTGTACTTTTGAAAAACCTGTTAGTATTCTGGAACCACATGTTTTTAGTCTCCTAGAGCCACATGTTTTCAGTCTCCTGGTGGAGCCACATGTTCTTGGTCTTTCAAAACTGCATGTTTCCAGTCTACTTGTTTTCTTGGGGGCCCTTGTGCTTAGTATGTGTTCCTCTGCCCCATACTATGGCGGGTGCCCCTAACATGTTCCACCAGACCGGCTACCTCTTCAACATGCCCCTCACCCGTGACACCCTCTTGTACTCTGGTGGGCCGAAGATTGATTGATTCACCTGACAGCAGATTTGTTCACAGGTCGGTGCAACACAGTGGTCATCAGGGCTAGATTGTTAGTGATGGCAATTCTCACATGGTCCTCGTCATGATGCCATGGATCCAGTTACTGTAGTTCAGTGGTACACATTAGGGACTTACCTTTGCCCTTAACATGCTGTTCCTACTTGCCAGGGCTACTTCTTTGTATCCTTAGCAACATTTGGATTTTTTTACCCTATCCAAGGCCAGCTAGAAAGACAAGGCGTTGAGATCAATACAAACTCTTGGATTGTGTAACCAATGCAGAACATCCACTACGTACTATGTACAGAGAGTGGGCACCCCAGATTGGTTGAGGGTATTTTGGTCACCTCCCTCATCTATTCTGGTCTGCCACATTCTTTTCCAGACTTCAGGTGATTGCCATGGTGTTCAACTTTCAAGATGCTTCAGCCAATCGCGGTCAAATCACCCTTGCACACAAGGCAGGCTTGTTTGAACGAATGCTATTGACCATCACCTCCCTGACCAGATCTGCACATTGTGAGGCTACAGTGTGCACATTTTGTTGCGGCTTCACCATGTATTTTCAACCCTGGGTGCTCTTCACTCCCAACATATGGCAGTGGCACAAAATATTGTTATTTTTGCTCTGGTGGATTCTGTGGATTCTTGCGATTTTCGGGCAGAGGACAATCGTTTATGGTTCACATAAGAATTGAAGGGTTGAGGCGTGACATGACTGGTTTGCGGGGGAGTTCACCCAATGAAATGGATGGGGGAGATTCTGACTTTCATGCCACGTGTTACAATCTGACCTCCAGTGCGGCTGCCGCTCCGCTCCGCCTCTGCTTAGGGGAAGGTTTGGCAAATTTGAGCTGGGGGACAGTTTTCCTTGCCTAGTTGCCCGTGGCAAGGTTGCGGTTGGCTCCCTTGGCACAGCTACACATGCCGAGTCCAAGACAAGGCAGGCGCAGATCTGCCTCAGAGCTGTGTTGCTGGTGCCAGGGTGCTGGACCTGCCCCAGAGCTCCACGCCACAGCCAGAGCGGCGGAAAGAACAAATGCTCTTCACGAGGAAGTTGTCTGCGCGTCATTGCGATTATGAAGCTTCCAGGGTTGACCTTTGGCTGTCACGCATTCTCTGCTCGGCTCGCCTTACACATCTAAGTCCCTTGTCCGTAGCAGGCTCAAAACATCCTTTCCCTCATAGGACATTGCCTGCGATTTGAAAGTCTTTCTTCTGTGCAGCTCGTCGCAGTCTAAGGCTAGCAGCCGTGCGTCCACGCAGAATCCCAGCAGACTCAAACCGAGGTCAGATTCGTTAACCTAATGGGGAAAGAGCAGAACGAGCCGAAGGAGCAGCCCCTGGTGCTCTTCGCTGGTCTGCTCAAGGGTTGTCAGCTTATCGCCTCGTACTCCCCGCAGAAGCACTATGAGCAAGCCGCGCTGGATGCAATGAAAGAAGTTCCGTCTCATGTCCATCGATTCTCCCTGGTGAGTATCTCAATTGTTCCTTACCTTTTCCTGTCCTCCTACAGCTCTGCACTTGTGTGTACGAGATATGAATCACCACAAGTCTTGAATTCTCGCCTAGGAGCACATTTGCCTCACTCCTCTTTCTTTTTCGTCCCGCTTTCGTCGCCGTCGCTCCCTGCGTTCCCTCCTCTCGAAATTTTCAACGCATCCCCGCAATACCCGCAGGGCCATGGCGGGGTGATGGCGTTGTTCTGCAAGTTCCCCGACCCACTCTCGTTGGACGGCGGCAGCGGCGCCATTCAGCCGTCCAGCCTCCAGTCTCCGCTGCTCACGCCGTCCAACTCGTACGGCGCCGTGCTCATCGCGTACGAGTCGCCCACGCTCATGCGCGCTCGCGGCTTCGAGTTGCTTCGTTCCATGAGCAACCTCTATCAAACCCTCCTCACCCGTCCGCGATTCCCTCTCCGCCGCACCACCTCCTCCTTCCTTACCCGCGCCGACGGCTTCAAACGGGGGAAGCTCGAGGCGCAGATGAAAGATATGTGCGCCGCGGAGCGCGGTCTAAGATGCTCGCAGGACCTGCGATTGTACCCCATGGCGCCGAAGGCTTTCCTGGTGCGCGATTCGTACCAATCGGCGGAGGATCTAGCGGCGATAGAGGCGCTGCGCGAGGAGGTGGAGGCGAAGAAGGAGCGCGCGAAGAACATGCTGGAAGCAGAGCTGCAGTTCGTCAATAACATGGCGGACGATGACATCTGCTCCCTGCCGGGTACTCTCCACCTCGGGGAATCCGCCGACGGCGGTGGCGACGGTGACGGTGACAGTAGGCGCGGTGGCGAGGCGGCAGTGGGGAGTGTAGCGCAATCAGTGCCGTATAACCCGGATGTGAGCGCGGATTCGGACGACGAGCACGAGGACCTGGTGCCCAAGTCCATGCCCGGAGATTACTACATGAAACACCCCGCCGCTGAACCCGCTGCTGCTGCGCCTCACGGCGCTGTTTCGCGCGGGGGCTCCTCCCGTGCGCTCAGCTTCTCGCTCTCCTTCTCGCACTCGCGATCGCGCCCGCGCGAGCAGCAAGCGGACGTGGACGACCTCGCGAGCCGCGTGCGCGCCCTCGCCGCCGCCAGCGCCCCCGCCCCCGCCGCCGACGATTCGCTCGCCGCCTCCGCCTCGGCGTTGCTCTCCTCCTGTCACTCCTCCTCGCGATCCGCGTGCCTATCGCTCGTGGCGGACGGCGCGAAGCTGAAGCGGTCGGGAAGCCACGGCAGCCGATCCAGGTCGGGCGGGCTGAGCTCGCGCAGCTTCAGCTTCGTGCACGGCAGCGGCAGCGGCGGCAGCGCCAGCGGCACCCTGTCGCATTGGCTTCGCGGAAACCGGGGGTCGCTGCTGCCTGCGGACGCTGCCCGCGTGTCGCCCGCTAGCGACGCGGCTGGCGGCACGGCTGTGTCGCACAGCGCGGAGCTGATTCTGGGGAAGCGGCAGGGAGGCGAGGGGGGCGTGGAAGGGGGCGCGCTTGGCGAGAGCCTGGAAGAGGCCCTGGCAAAGGCGCAGCAGCGCGCTCAGGCGAAAGAGGCGCAGGGGCACGCAGTGCGGCCGGGGTCCGGGCAGGCACAGGAGGAGATGAATTCGCGGTGTAATAAACAGCACAGGACGTGCTCGCACCCGCATGGGCATCACCGTCACCACCGCCATTGTGCGCCGCAGCAGCAACAAGGGCTATGTGAACCGCGCAGCGGGGAAGTTAGTCCGCGTGGAAAACAGGTGCGCCTCACCTCCACCGCCTTGCAGATGTTCTTTGTGCTGGGGACTGCATTGCAATGTGCTTGTCATTCAGCAGCGCTCGCACTTGGTTCGCGCCGTGTTTCTGTTTTGACTTGCTCCGCGTCTGATGCGCTCGTCCAGTTGAGCATTCGCTAGGACCCGTGATTCTCTTCATTTGTTCATCCTCGTGTGTCCCCTGTGCGACTGTGCTTCCCCTGTGCTTCCCGTGTGCGACCGTGTCTTCTCTGTGTGGTTGTGCCACCTCTGTGGTATGGAACTATCCTGGTGCAGGGCGTGGGCGAGGTGGCACCGGGCTCTCCGGCAGCGAAAGCAGTGGAGGCGATAGCAATGGCAATGCGCAAGAAGAAGAGCAAGCTCAGCGCGGGGGGCAGCACCAGCCCCACCAGCGGCGCCAGCAGCAGCAACGGCGCCCCACAGGTTGCAGACTCGGGTGCGTGCAGCGCGTGCTGCAGTGAGTGCGCCTCTCCCTCTCCCCTCTCCAGCCCGCGACCGCCTGTCAATCACGCCCACGCGCACGCACACGAGCAGCTTTCCCCGCCCCGCCAGCAGCCGCACGGCCAGGTGCAGCAGGCGCAGGTGCAGCAGGCCCAGGTGCAGCAGGCGCAGGTGGCTCATAACCCTGCGGCCCAGGCTCAGCAGCCTTCTGCAGAGCGTGCAGAGCAGCTGGAGCAGCTGCAGGCGCAGCTGGAGCAGTTTCGAGAAGAGTACAACGAACGACGCAGGAAGGAGCAGGAGCAGAAGCAAAAGCAGCAGCAGCAGCAGCAGCAGCAACCGCCGCTGTCACCACAGAAACTAGAGCTGCTGCCGCCGCTGTCACCACAGAAGCAGGCAGGCGGCAGTACGAGCAGCAGCAATAACAAGGAGGAGGAGGCAGTGGCGGCACGAGCAACGTCACGGAAGGAGCAGTTTGAGCAGCAGAAGCAGCAGCTGTTGCGGGAGCTGCAGGGGGAGCGTGACCAAAAGCCTGCCAAGGGCAAAGAGCTTCCGCGCATCCCAGACGTATCCCTAATGGTGCCGTACCCCCCTTCACCCATCTACACTCCTTCACCAACCTCACGGCTGTCGTCTGTCATGGATCGCACATGGATAGGGAAGGACAAGGACAAGAAGCGCGAGCGCGACCGCGCCAACACTGGGTGGGGATTATTGTTTGGAAAGGGGAGGGAGGAAAGGGAGATGGAGAAGCGTTTAAGGGACAAGAGCCGGAGCTTGCGGTCTAGGAGCTCTTTTTTTGTGTCTGAGAGGAGCAAGAGGGCAGTTCCTGTGGCACAGACGAGCCATGAGGCGGAGGCCATGAACGGAGGGGCGTTCGGGGGCCGTGGCAGGGGCGAGGCGTCGCGCAGTGCTGGTGGCGATGCTGTGCCTGGGTCGTCCCCGCGTTGGGTGCATGAGGCGTGGGCGGCGGGGCATGAGGGTACGCAGGGGGGAAGCGCTGCGAGCGAAGAGGGAGGAGGGCGGTTGAGGCACTTGTTTGGAGGCGGGTGGCGGCGCTGAAGATAATGCAGGCGGGCGCCAATGCTCTGTGGCAGTGCGCAGCTGCCTTGGTGGATCGAAGCCCTGTTCAAACACAGTGCACGGTGCTGTGACAAGTGTGCATTCATGTGCAGGGGTATGTGCCTGTGGGCTATGAGTTCCGTTCCGTGCCTGTGATACGGTGGCCTTACAACTTACAAGTCGTGGGTGTTGTGAGGGAGGGACGCGGATGTAGGTTGGGGTCATGGATGTGCATAATCTTCTGGCGCTGCTTGGTTGTCTGTGATCGTACATGTGATCTGAGGCTGCTGTGTGCCTCCTCTCTCCTCTTACATACGCTGCTCGTGCCCAGTGCCCATGGCTTTCACTGGGGATGGAGAGCATGCATCTTGTTTCTATTTCCCTCAGGACCTGCATGATCACCCCAGGCCTTGCTTGCTGGGGTATGTAAGATGCTGGGTTGTCAGAAAGACGCCTAGATGACTGCAGTTGCAAGTGTTCTCTTGTTGTAATGAAATCATGGTTGAGTGGGTTATAATGTAATGTTGTAAGGAAAATTCCTTTTCCTTACTTCGCGTCCCTGCTCAGCGCGTACAACGCTAACAACACCCCACAATATTCCGTTACCACTCGCGACATTCGCCTCGACATCATTCCCGCCAGGCCCTCAGAAGTCAGCGAAAAAAGGCTGATTAGGGGTAAAAAGGCTGTGATTTCAGTGGTGGGCGATTCTTGAGGCTGCTGTGTCAGCTTTTTTTTTTTTATGTGTTTGCTGATAGTTCAGTTTTTTTGAATATGTCTGTGCTGAAATATCAGTTTTTTTCCAGTCGTGTACGCTGTATCATCAGAGCTATAACAAAGGGTTGGGCTGAAATCCCTGTAATGGAGATTCGCGTGAGTACCCTGAATTCTGGTAGTCTAGGTACATCGGTTCGTGCATGATTACCAGGGGCACGTCGCCTGGTATCGTGGCACGGGTAGCTTGCCAACCAAGCCCGCTTCATCAGCTCGTTTTTACATATCCTCTGGCAGTTGCTGGACTCCCCCACCCCACCCCCTAGCCCGCTAGGGTTTCATTTCTGTTCATTCGCCTCCAGCACCAAACCATTTTCCGCTCGCTCTCTCAGTGCTCGGCACGCTCTCTCTGTGCTCGGCTCGCTCTCGTCTGTGTTCCGCCATGGCTGGCCTTTCAGACGATGAGGCTGACGCCGATCTAGACGACGCCGATAGCGTAGCCATCGAAGAAGCCCGTACAGGGCTGGATCTTCTCCTTAAATCGTTAGGCCGTCCATTTCCACCTCCTGCGCCGACTGCACCCGGTCCCGTTTCTATGGTGCCTGAGAATCCGGACGTGCCTTCAAGCCCGGATTCTATCCGGGCCAACCCTCCTGCGCCGCCTGGTGTTTCCGACACCGTTCACATCGGCACGTCGGCGTCGAAGTCGTCAGCGACGCGCGCAATCAAGCTCAAGCAGCAGAAGCTGAGCTTCTGGACGTCATCAACAACCGTCCCAGTCTCGGAGGCTGTCGTCAACGAAACCACCGCGCACCCGGCTCTGAACATAAACTCTCAGGAGCTTATTGATGCCATATATGCCGAGGCACTGGAGAAGTATAAGTCTAAGTGGGTTGAGCGTTTCCCTTGGCTTGTACTAACTAAAACTGTTCGTGGTCTGCCTGCTTTCAAGTGCAGTCTCTGCACCAAGCACGCAGGTGTCAGGGGACGTTGTGGCAGGACAGGCAAAGGTGCGACCGACGTTCAGACGCAGTCGTTTCGCAAGCACGCCGGGACGAGAAAGCACAAGCTGGCACTGGAGAAGCAAGAGGCACTGCTTGCTGCCGCGTCTAAGCAACCCCGCATCGACGAGCATCGTGCAGCGGTCGACGCGGAGAAGATTCGGGTCACGTCACTGCTTGACGCGCTCCTGTTTGTCAGCGACTGCAACGCACCCATGGGGACATGGGTGAAGCTGGTGCAGTATCTTGCGCGGAAGGGCGTCCAAGGGTTTCCAAAGAAAGGCTATGGGACGTACTATACCACGTGAGTTGTCATTACTGTTCCTGCTTGCATTGGTTTACTTACATGCGCAGTTTCGTTAATAATATATGTTTGTATTCTTGCAGGTACGGCTACGGCGAACTCACGCAGTCGTTGGCAACGTGGTTACAGACAACCCAACTTGAGCACATCCTCAGAAGCCCCTTCATCGGCATCGCCATCGACGAAAGCACGGATCGTGTCAGGGGGAAGCATCTAATTCTCTACGCCACTTTCGTTCGGGAATCCGTAGTCGTGACGGAGTTCATGCAACTCATCACGGTGGAGAAAGCTGACGCATCCACCTTGTTGAGTCTTCTGCTGTCTCACCTGCAGGCCGTCGGTGTCGACCTGCAAAGGATTTCGGGCATCAGCATCGACGGTGCGTCAGTGATGATGGGGAGTCAAGCTGGGCTGGTGGTTCGCCTTCGAGAGAAAGTACCCCACCTCGTCTCGTGTCATTGCATCGCACACAGGTGAGTGCTGTACTGTATTTAGTGACCTACACCTTTTCCCTTTTGTGCGGTGTACTGAAGTTTCTTCTGTCCTTACATGCAGGGAGGCCCTCGCCGCTAAGGATGCGGCAGAAGCTCTACCGGTTTTCAACATGGTAGATGATCTCATCCGCGTGGTCTCGGACCTACTGGGGCGGTCCGACCCGAAGCACCAGCGCTTCATGGACCTCCAGGAGCTTTTCACCGAGACCAGCTTGGAAGTCCAGGGCATCCATCAAGTCCGGTGGCTCTCTCGGGGGGATGCGTTGCTTCGCATCCTAGCAGTATGGCCAGCTGTCATTGTTTTTCTGAAAGAGTTCCACGCCGCCATGTTTTTGCTCGCCACATCCTACCGGTTCCACTTCTTCATGTACTTTCTTGCTGATGTGCTTGAGCAGCTGAACTTCCTGAACAAGACCTTTCGCAGCGCCAGGTAATGTTGTGTTTGCGTTTCCCCATGATACCCTTTCCTACTTTGGTAAACACGGCTGACTGTGTCTTCTATTGTGTCTGATGATTGCAGCTGGACCTTGTGTCTCTGCACACTCAGATCAAGCGCACCACGTCACATATCGAGAGCCGATATGTTGACTGTGGGGACGACTTCGGTGGAGGCTTGAGCCGCTGGCTTTCGCCCTTCATCGAGCGCTACGGCCCAGGAAAGGAACGCGAAGTGACTGTGGAGGGGCCTGATTCCGATGGCAGACCGTCAACATTCGTGTTCGAGCTCCATGAAGAGAAAGTCAAGGGCTACGAAGGCCCCTGTGATCACGATGCCTGCGTTGAGGTCTGCACCGACTTTGCTGAACGAATCGTGGGGAACCTGGAGAGGAGGCTGAGTGACTTAGACTCTCCGTCTGGTGTCCGTCTGTTCCTGCCGGATGAGTGGCCGAAGAGCAAGTCGGAGCGTCATGCACGATGCGTCGAGTGGCTGAACTCGCTGGTGACGCTGTTCAAGGCGCACGCGGCAGAAGACATACTGCCAGGTGAGTTATGTTTTGGGTTTTGACAGTCTCACTGCCATGCTATTGTTTCTCGAGCTCAGCGCGTGAAATCATGCATTGTTTCCCAATACATCCACTTGTGTTATGTCCCTGCCAGGGATCAACAAGCGGCAGGCCCACAAGGAGCTTCGGTTGTTCTGCTCTGTCCGTGCCGCTGCACCGAAGGGGGAGAGGACTTTCCACGATGGCCTCACCGCAATTTTGAAGACTTCGGACTGGCGGGAGAGCTACCCCAACCTCGTGCAGCTGTGGGTAGCCGTGGCGGTGATTCCCCTTAGCACTGTGGAGTGCGAACGGGGCTTCTCTCGCCAGAACGTGATCAAGTCTTGGCTGCGGAGTGGCCTCAAGGATGCAAGGCTGGGGGACTTGATGTGCATGTCTCTGATGCCGTACGAGCCTCAATACGACGAGGTGGTCGAGATCTGGAGGAGCTACAGGAAAAGGAAGCCATTTTCTAATGCCCCAATTTCCACCCCATCCCCAGGTGAATGCAGCAAGAAGGGAAAAGCAACGGCAGCTATGCAAGTAGATGAGCCCCGTGCTGTAGATGCTTTAGGCTCTAGCGATAGTGAAGAGGATGATGATGATGATGAAGAGGATGAGGACATGTTTCACTATATTTAATGTAATCGTTTGATATATCAATGCAAAACTTGTAAACTAGGTGTCTTGTCTTGTCTGGGAAAAAACTGATCGTTCAGTTTTTTTTCCGATATACTGTCTGAAAAGTCAGGTTTTTTTATTACAACACCACTGATCAATCAGCCATGGACACACTCCTAAGTTTGACCAGTCAGCCTACGCCAAAACGAATCTGAGGCCCTGATTCCCGCCACTGTTCACGATGCGACCCAACCTCACGGTTCGGTTGGTAAACCGCGCTCCGGACCTCCGCCTCGACAGTTCCCCAATCCTCGGCACCAGGCCCATCGCGCACCCCAATTTCCCACGTTACCGTTACCACCGTAGTTTTCGCTATAAATTCTTCGCTCATTCCTTCGCTCAGTGTATTCTTGCCTCGATAGTGCAATCCTCGCTCGCTCACTGAATTGCACTCGTAACACTTGGTTATCAGAGCCTACGATCTTCTCTCGGACCGCACCCACACCTTCGCTTCCCCACAATCAGTTTTTTTGTTGGGGGTATACGTCTCTCAGCGATCAAGCACCGCCGCTCGTAGTGCTCTCTCGTAAACACGCACGGCCACGTCAGAGGCTCTCGCTGAGCTCGCCCGACACCCCCGCCATGGCAGAACTCAATGTCGCGACACTGATACAGGAGCAACTAGATCGGCTCTGTCAAACATATGTTTATATGTTATAGTTTAGGTAGGCTTTAGTGGGGTACTCACTGTGGGGTACAACCCCTTAGTTTTCCTTTTGTACCAACACTCTCGATAGTTGCCATCATCCCTTCCCTAAGAGTTTAACATGGCATCTAGAGCATAGGTCCTTAGGACCTAGGATTAGGGCCCACCGGTTACCATACTACCTCACCTGCCTTGCCTACTGCCCGCGCGCGCCTTGGCTGCACGCGCGCGACCCTTTTTTTTTCCCGCGCGCGCCTCTTACGCAGCCCGCGCGGCCCGTTTAGGCCCCGCCCGCGCAGCCCGTTTAGGCCCCGTTTAGGCCCCGCCCGCGCGCCCCTTACGCCGCCCGCGCGCAGCCTGCTTAGGCCACGCCCGCGCAGCCCGCCGCCGCACGCAGCCCGCAGCCGCGCGCAGCCTGTCGCCACGCGCAGCCAGGAGCCGCGCGCAGCCCGTTGCCACGCGCAGCTAGGAGCCGCACGCAGCCCGTCGCCACGCGCAGCTAGCAGCCGCTCGCAGCCCTCAGTCGCACGCAGCCAGCAGCCGTGCGTGCCCTGCTCGTGTGCCTGCCTGCGCGGCCCGCTGCTGCCTAGCCCGCTGCCTTAGAAAGAGCACGGCCTGCTGCTGTCTAGCACGCCGCCTTAGGAGCTTGAGTGCGGCAAGCTACTGCCCTGCAAGTTGCCTGTGTTGCCTGCTGCCTGCTGCCTCTGTCTTAGCCTGCGGTCTACTGCCTGCTGCCTCCTGTCTACTGCCTGCTGTCTCTGTCTTTGCCTGCGGCCTGCTACCTACTGCCTCCCGTCTGCTGCCTGCTGCCTACTGCCTTTGCCTGCTGCCGTTATGACGACGCCTAACGTTCTCGCGTTCGAGCCTGACGGTCGCCCCATAGAGTTCGCTGTGTGGTTAGACGACCTCCAACTGTTCCTTCTGACCGATGCCAAAGAGGGCGTTTCACTGTTCGATTACGTGTCTGGCACTGCCGTTGCTCCTGCTGCCGATGCTCCTGCTCTCGAACGCTCGCAGTGGCAGACTCGCAATGCTGCTGCACGCCTAGCTATTAGGAACCATCTGCCGATTACTGAGCGCGCGCATTTCAGCCAGCACAAAACTGCTAAGAAGCTGTACGATGCTGTAGTTGCGCGCTACTCCTCCCCGGCCACTGCAGCCATAGGTCGGCTCATGCTACCCTACCTGTTCCCCGACCTTTCCTCGTTCACCACTGCCGAGGACCTCATTTCCCACCTGCGCGCTACTGACACTCGCTTTCGTGCCGCCCTTTCAGCCGAGTTCTGCGCCGCAAACCCCCCCCCGATGTACTTCACTCTCTATTTCCTTGTCACCCGCCTCCCTGACACTCTTAGCTCTGTCAGGGACCACTTCCTAGCACTAGACCCCACCACTCTCACTGTCGACGACTTCGAGAAGCACCTCCTCGCAGCAGAGAAGAACATCCTCGCTGTAGGTGCTGCTCGTGGCACTCCTCGCTCTCCCCTCTTTGAGGGGTGCTCCCCCTCCCCTCTCACCCCCTCCTACGCCTCCGCAGCTGCTGCTCACGACTACCTTGGTGCTGAGGAGGTCGGGGCTGCTTCCGCTCCTAGTGGGAAGCGTCGCAGCGGCAGGAGCGGCAGGGGTGGCAGGGGCAGTGGGGGTGGCGGTGGAGGTGGCGGTGGTGCAGGCGGCGGGGGAGGTGGAGGTGGTGGGGGTGGTCGTGGGGGTGGAGGCGGTGGAGGTGGTGGTGGGGGCGGCGGAGGCACTGGGAGCGGTGGAGGGGGCAGCAGCGGCGATGGGGGAGGAGGGAGCGGTGGTGGCAGTGGTGGTCAGGGCCAGCAGCAGCCGCAGCAGCAGCAGCAGTAGCAGCATCAGCGTCAGCGCCAGACCCCCACTTCCAAGCAGCTTCTTGACTGGTATGCCGGGCGTGGGTCTTCAGGGGGTCCTGGTCGCTGCCCCTATATCATCCGCACTGGTCGCCAGTGCACAGGTTTTCACACTGAGCAGCGCTGCTTCGCTCGGCTTAGCGACGCCTGGCGCGCCAAGTTTCCTGATGCTACTGAATTCCCCAACTGGGCAGACTTGCTTAGGCGTGATGTACCTATCTTTGATCTTGACTATGAGGCAATTCTTGCTGCTATGTATGTATTGTCTGTTAGTGCTGAGGGTGACTGCTACTTGTGTGTGCCGCCGGATCCTGGTATAGCCCCTGGTATAGCCCCTGCAACACTAGGTGCTTGTGAGTCTGCCCCCCTTGGTACTGCGCCTGCACAGGCCTTGCACACCTTTACACTTGACTCTGGTGCTTCCCGCTGTTTCTTTCGCGACAGTACCACAGTCACTCCCCTCCCTGCACCTGTTCCTGTCTCACTGGCTGACCCCTCTTGGGGCCTAGTGCTTGCACAGTCTTCCACTGTGCTTCCGTGTCCGGCGGTCCCGTCTGGTGAGCTGTCTGGTCTCCACCTCCCCTCGTTCTATACGAACTTGGTGAGTAACGCTGTCCTCCAGGATGCGGGGGTTGACACCTTCACCCCTGGCCGGCAGCGTGTGGCGATTTGCACGTGCTCCCAGACTGGTCGTCACCTGGCCACGTTCACTCGTGCGCCAGGGTCCAGTCTGTACACCCTCACCACTGCGTCGCGCTCCGCCCCTTTGTCTCCCTAGTTGCACGCGTCTGCTCAGGTAGCTACACAGTGTGAGTGTCGCCGGCTATCGCACGACACTCTCCTGTGGCACCACCGCCTTGGTCACCCCTCCCTGCCTCGCCTTCGTAGCATGCACTCTCGCTTCATGGTCTCTGGTCTTCCCAGGTCTCTGCCTGCCCTCCCTCCCTTGCCTGCGCCGCCCTGCATTCCTTGCGTTGAGGGGCGGCAGCGCGCCGCTCCTCACTCCTCCACGTTCCCTCCCATAGAGGCTCCACTGCAGACTCTCCACCTGGACGTGTGGGGCCCAGCCCGCGTCCGTGGACAGGGCCACGAGCGGTACTTCCTGCTGTTTTTCGACGACTACACGCGTTACACCACGGTCTTCCCCTTGCAGCGCAAGGGGGATGTCCCTGATGTTTTGATCCCCTGGATCCGCGCTACTCGTCTCCAGCTCCGCGAGCGGTTCCAGTCGGACTTTCTTGTCCTGCGTCTGCACTGCACTCTGACAGAGGTGGTGAGTTCTCCTCAGACCTCTTGGCAGCCTTCTGTGCGGAGCACGGCATCCGCCAGACTTTCACGCTTCCGGCCTCTCCGCAGCAGAATGGGGTTGCTGAGCGCCGCATTGGCTTAGTCATGGAGGTCGCTCGTACCTCCATGATCCATGCGGCTGCCCCCCATTTTCTGTGGCCGTTTGCGGTCCGGTACGCCGCGCATCAGCTCAACCTTTGGCCCCGTGTCTCCTTGCCGGAGACCTTGCCCACACTGCTGTGGACGGGGAGGGTTGGTGATGCGTCGCGTTTCCGGGTCTGGGGTGCTCGTGCCTTTGTCCGCGATACCACCGCGGACAAGCTCTCCCCTCGCGCCATTCCTTGCGTCTTCCTTGGCTTTGTCCCTGACGCGCCTGGCTGGCAGTTTTACGACCCCGCCTCGCGCCGTGTCTTGGCGTCTCAAGACGTCACTTTTGACGAGTCGGTCCCTTTTTACCACCTCTTCCCCTACCGCACTGCTCCTCGCCCTCTCTCGCCGCTCTTTCTCGCCCCAGGTCCTCCCCAGGTAGACCCCCTCCCCGCGCCAGGTCCTGCTCCTTCAGGTGTCTCTCAGGTAGACCCCCCCGTGCCTGTGCCTGTTGAGGTCACTGGTGACTCCGGTCCTGCTGGGAGTGGTGCTGTCCCTGGGGGTGCGGAGCTTGGGGGTGCTGAGTCTGGGGGCGCTGAGCGTGTGGAGCCTGGAGGTGCTGAGCCTGCGCGTGAGGAGCCAGGAGGTGCTGCGTCTGGAGGTGCTGCGTCTGGAGGTGCTGCGTCTGAGGGTGCTGCGTCTGGGGGTGCTGAGTCTGGGGGTGAGTCGCCTGCGGGTTCTGAGACTACTTTTACGCGGTCTCCTTGGAGTAGCCGTCTTCGTCCGCGTGTGCCCCTCACCTCCCAGCAGCTGCACGACTGGTACGGTCGCCGTCAGCGTCGCGCTTCTGCACCTCAGGGCTCTACTGCTGGGGGTTCTTCTGCTGGTGTCGCTGGTCCCGGAGGTGCTCGTACTGAGGGTACTGGAGCTGCTGGGGCTGGCGGTGTTGTGACTGAGGGTACTGGAGCTACAGAGGGTGCTGGAGCTGCTGGAGGCACTGGAGCTGCTGGAGGTGCTGGCGGTGCTGGAGCTGCTGAGGGTACTGGGGCTGCTGGAGGTGCTGGACCTGCTGAGGGTCTTGGAGCTACTGGCGGTGCTGGAGCTGCTGAGGGTACTGGAGCTGCTGGAGGTGCTGGAGCTGCTGGAGGTGCTGGAGCTGCTGGAGGTGCTGGAGCTGTTGGTGCTGATGGCACTGCTCAGCCGCGCCTGTTCTTCGCTCCGCCGTCTCCGTCGTCTCAGCCACCACCTGACTCTGCACTTCGCCAGGTTCTCAGTCTTCCCTCGTCTACTGGTCTTCCGTTACAGCCTTGCTCACCGCTGCCTGCTCCTTCTCCGTACACACAGCAGACTGAGGGCCTTGCTGAGCATCGTGAGCCTGCGTCGCGCCCTGTCTCACCTGTCCGTTCTGGTCGTTCCGGTCGTCGTGTTCCTCGTCAGCGGCAGCCGGCTGTCTCCGGCCCTCCCCTTGTAGTTCGTCGTCCTTCCTCTCCTCCGCCGCGTGTTCCTCTTCCGTCTCCCCCTGCGTCCTCTCTGCCTGTCGTTGCTGACCCTGTGTCTGACCAGTTTCGTGCTGAGCACTCTACTGTCACGCGTCTGCTTGCCACTGTTGTCACTGACCCGTCGTTTGAGTCTGATGCTGCGTCTGCCTTAGTCGCTGTGCTTGTTGACTTTGCTGCTGCCTGTCGTCTCGACTACGCCGCCAGTATTGTTGCTGAGTCTGAGTCTGTCTGTCCTCCGTCCGTCGGGGGTGATTGTGCTCTTGGCACGGACGTCCTTGAGGACAGGCAGGAGGACCTTGAGTGTCTTGCAGCCGCTACTTGTGGCCATGCTACTTGCCCCTGAGGGAGACCCGGATGCACCAGACATCCCTACCCCGCGTTCTTACGCTGAGGCAATCGCGGGTGAGTACTCCTCTTAGTGGCAGACAGCCATGGACGCAGAGATGGCATCCTGGAAGTCCACAGGCACCTACGTTGACGAGGTTCCCCCTCCTGGGGCGAACATTGTCAGTGGCATGTGGATTTTCAGGGTGAAGCGGCCGCCAGGTTCTCCGCCTGTCTTCAAGGCTCGTTACGTGGCTCGAGGCTTCAGTCACCGAGAGGGAGTTGATTTCTTCCAGACCCTCCCCCACCCCGAAGATGACCACTCTTCGGGTGCTGCTACACGTTGCCGCTCAGCGTGACTACGAGCTTCACTCTCTTGACTTCAGCACAACCTTCTTACAGCGCAGCCTGCACGAGGAGATATGGCTGCTCCGCCCTCCTGGCTTCACTGGGTCGTTCCCTCCTGGTACCCAGTGGAGCCTCCGGCGGCCAGTCTACGGTCTCCGCCAGGCGCCACGTGAGTGGCACGACACACTGAGGATGACACTTGCGGCTCTTGGGTTTGCTCCGTCGACTGCTGACCCGTCGCTGTTTCTGCGCACCGACACTTCGCTGCCGCCGTTCTACATCCTCGTGTACGTCGACGACTTGGTCTTTGCCACTGCTGACACTGAGGCTCTCGCCCTGGTGAAGTCGGAGCTGCAGAAGAGACACACGTGCACAGACCTGGGTGAGCTGCGCAGCTATCTTGGCTTGCAGATCACCTGGGACAGAGCACGCCGCACCATCACACTGACTCAGTCACACATGGTGCAGCAGGTCCTTCAGCGCTTCGGCTTCACCTGGTCCTCAGCACAGGCCACTCCTCTGGCTACAGGTCACTCGCTCTCAGCTCCACCTTCGGACGAGTCCGTAGAGCCGAGTGGTCCTTACCCAGAGCTAGTGGGCTGCCTCATGTACCTGATGACCTGCACTCGTCCTGACCTTGCGTACCCTCTTGGCCTTCTGGCTCGCTACGTGGCTCCTGGTCGGCACCGAAAGGTGCACATGGATGCTGCTAAGAGGGTACTACGCTACTTGTGCAGTACATCGGGCATGGGGCTCGTGCTTGGAGGACGGGGTGACGTTGTCCTCACTGGTCACTCGGACGCCTCTTGGGTTGACGACCAGGCTACGCGGCGGTCGTCACAGGGTTACACCTTCAGCCTTGGTTCTGGTTCAGTTTCCTGGCGTTCTACATGTTCGTCTTCAGTCCTCGGCTCCAGCTGTGAGGCCGAGATCTACGCCACAGCCATGGCTGCACAGGAGCTACGCTAGCTCATCTACCTGCTGACCGACTTGGGAGAGCGGCCTCATTCTCCTCCAGTTATGTACGTCGACAACAAGGCTGCCATTGCCTTGTGTCAGGAGCACAGACTGGAGCACAGAACGAAGCACATCGCTCTACGTTACTTCCTTGCTCGAGAGCTGCAGCAGCGTGGCCAGCTTCGTCTTGCTTACGTGGCCACTCGGGCCAACACTGCCGATATATTCACCAAGGCGCTTCCGCCTGGTGATCATCAGCGTCTCTGCACTTTGTTAGGCCTTGTTCCGACACTTCCTCACTTGCTGTAGGCTTTGTTTGTACTGTGATCTATATGTATACCTGCATGCTTGCTCTTGTAGGTAGATATCACTGTGCTGTTGTTGTTACACATATATCTCTGCATGTGAACTGGCCTTTTGGCCTTTTGCTTGTGCTCAGACTGCATGGTGACGTTGTGATCCACCCTGAGCTTGTTTT